ATGGTTGCGTGAAAATGGTTGTCCGTGGACTGCGTCAACATGTGAAAATGCTGCTCTGGGTGGCCACTTGGAAATTTTGAAGTGGGCTCGTGCAAATGGTTGTCCATGGAATGCTTGGACTGATCTTGCCGGCCGCAGAAACAGAAGAAGCAACAAAAGTGAAGTGATCCAGTGGCTTCGCCAGAATGGCTGTCCTGAGTGGTAACGGAAAATCGTGGAAATTCATGTATCAATTCCCCCCTCCCAGGAGCACTAGCAGTTGCATGTCCTGCGCTATGCACGCGAAAGGTTTTCGCTCTGGGCCTGTTCTTTATCGCATCCCACAACTGGTACGCCCTGGTTTTGCACGTCATAGTTTGTGTGTGTTGTACTAGCTAGCTGCTGTACTCTTTTTGTGGGGGTTGATCAGCCAAATTCATGATTCAATCATCCAATCCTCCCGGAACCCTGAACATCCCAGCCAGAGCCCAAACTTGATAGGGCTTCGAAAGGGCGGCCGAGGCTGGCTGGGGTTGAGCGAAACGAATTGCAACGATCGATGTACTTACGGTTTCCGGCTACGGCGGGATCTGATCTAACGGGAAGGTAGCAGGTAGCAGGAATCGTCAGATCTTTGTAGGAGCACGAGTAGCCGAGCCCATGCGACCAACCAAGTCTGGAATGATTACTCGAATCGGTGAGGTGACTATGAATTGCATTCAAAAGCCAAGGAGAGCAAAGCGTTTTACAAGGACCCACTATCATTTTTTTTTAAATACTTTCAAATACTGCTTGGACAACGGGCGTTCTTACCACACCATCTAGAGTGCTCATTCGGCTTCCACCCTAGCTCTTTCTTCCGCCTCGAGCTTTATTCATCTGCTCTTCGAGCTTGCCAGCGCCCCTCGCTGCTGGCGACGAATTCTTTCGGAAGCGGGGCGTAGGAGGACGCTCAAAGCAAGAAGAGGTACATGCATTTGGTTGATCGAAACTGTACCGTATTGACTTGGAAATTCGAAAACCTTTGCCCTGCCACTGCGACACTCCTTCTCCGAATAACAACAAGCCCAACCTCAGCATATCGTCAGAGGTGACTGTAGAGCGGATGTTAGATTCAGGGCCGTGGTGACTCGACTCACTGGAGAGTAGGGGCTTTCCACCATTGTGGATCGATCGTTGATGGTACGTGGAGATTCTCCCTTCTCCCTTACCGCGCCGTATCCTCCATTGAAATCCTCCCTAACCTTTACAAAAGAGGACCCCCCTTCAACCTTTTCTTCCTCCCTGAAGCCACTCATTATCTGCAGGTTGGTTGCCCTGTTGCTAGCTAGAGCTGGAATTATGAGACTTCCCAGAAACCCAAAGATGCGAGGATCTCAACGAGGCGCTTGGATGGCCATGCTGATCTTGGCCGTGACTCAGTTGCTGCGGGATGAAAGGCTTCAGACTGTATTTGCAAAAATGTACAGGGCACCACAAGAGAGCCGTGGGCTACAACTGATGCAGGAAACACACAACAATGTTGTAAGTGATTGCAGCAACAGCACTTTCCCTGATGAATGTACTTTTGCTCGCAACCTTACTTTCTCCAACAAACCTCCAACCACGACTGTCATCATTACTGCCAACCTGATCCCCACCATGCCTTCTACTGCCATCATTGAGGACACACTGGGCTCATTATCCATGCTCATTGGTCTGGAACCCAACACCCCCATTATCATTGCAGTGGATGGAATCAAGCCTTGGCTTGACACACCTGAAAACCGACAATGACTTCAAGATCGGGTCTCAAAAATTCGGTTCATGTTCAATATCATCCCAACGTTCAGGTTCTTGTGTCATTGGTTCATCTACAACACATTAGCAACACTCTTCGAATGGCCATCCAGCAAGTCACAACTGAGTTTGTCCACATTATGGAACACGATTTTCCCTTTACCAGGGAGATTGATCACCAGCTACTGGTCAACGCCCTTCGAGATGTCCCAGAACTACGGATCATTCGATTCAGCATGCGCCTGAATGGTGCTCCACAAAATCGAGTCGGAATAGCTGGTTTAGCCGGTTGTGCCCACAACCTTACATATGATGGCATGTACTTTCACTTGGCTATGTGGTCCAACAACAACCACTTTACCACCAGGGCATACTACGAATGGCTCCTAGAGGAGATTGGTCCTGTCCCCCATGCCCCCAAAGCCCCAATAATGACGCATCAAACCAAGAACTGCACCTTGTATGGGCAATACATGTATGGGCCCCCAACTGAAGGATGGCACTTGTATCATATTGATGGAAAGTCCGAATCGTACAAACGGACTTTTAGGTTCAATAATCACAAGAGATGCCCCAAATCCACGGCCGACGTACCATCGTCCGTGTTGCCATGGGTCCGGTGTCCAATATAAGTGAAGTCAGTTAGTCAGGGTGGGCATATCCGGTCTTCTCTCTGCTCTCTGGAGACAAAACAGTAACCGTTACATACATGCAGTTGTTACGAGTACGAGCAGCTTCGATTTTATTAATTCAAACGCGTGCCGGCATTTCTGGTACAGTTCTACGAGAGCTCGTGTAGAAGTGTACTGAAAAGTGTGGCGCGCGTTTGAATCAACAAAATCGAAGCTGCCTGTAGAGGCAAATCCCAGTGAGGCAATCTTTTGAAGCATCCTCGCCCAGCGTTTATAAGGAGATTGAGTAAATATTATTGTACTTAGCATTTTATACCCCCTCCTTTCGAAATTAGATCCGTTGGAACACGAATGAGACTTCCTGGCACCAAAAAAGAAACGGCGGGTTGGCACCGCATGCACACTGCGGCGAGTGAAAAGAAAACAGCATCAAGAATCAAGATCCGTTACTCCTATACACGTGTACCGTTGTGCTTTGGTTGATTGCAGTGTTTGGTTGTTGTGGTTGATCCCCTCTCCAAGCAGTTGGTGCTTTCCGGTAGCTGACAATGGTCAATTTCTTTCGTGGCAACCGCCGCAATGCTGCCGATCGGAATGCAACTCCCCCCGACAGTGCAACCTTTCTGCAGCAATCGCAGACGCTCATACCGGCCGAAGTTCGAATGTTTAGTGGTTGTGAAGACGATCAAACCTCTGCCGATGTCTGTGGAAGTATCAGTAAACTCCCCAACCCAAAGGGCCGTGCAGGAGGCGCTTGTACATCTGCCTTATTGGAGATTCTCCACGCTAGCAAGGAGGAACCCCACAAGATGTCCTTTCAACAAGTGCTGACGCAACTACGCGACAAACTACAACGACAGGGACACTCTCAGATTCCTCAATTAACCAGTTCTCGGCCATTGGATCTAGATGACACTCCCTTTTCCTTGATTGGAAGTCCCACCGGAGCTAGACGTGCGTTATTGGTGGGAATCAACTATGTGGGTCAAAACGGCCAGCTAAGAGGTTGCCACAATGATGTCCTGCACATGCAGGATTATCTGATCCATGTTCATGGATTCCCACCACGAGATATTCTGGTTCTTATGGACGACCACGGTGCCAAGCATCATGCACCCACCCGAGAAAAAATCGTTCGAGCCCTTCGCCATTTGGTGTCGGTCAGTCAACCAGGCGATGCCGTCTTTTTCCACTACAGTGGCCACGGTGGATATCTGTCACCGGACTTTAACTCCTTCAAAACGCAACAAAAGGACTACGACCAGACCCTCATTCCGTTGGATCATTCCAGAGCTGGACAGATTCGAGATTTCTCGCTCTTTCATCATTTTGTGCAACCCATGAAAGCCGGTGTGATTGTCACCTGCTTGATCGACGCCTGTCATTCGGGGAGTGTGCTAGATTTGCCATACTCCTTTCGACCCACCAATACTGGACGTGGATCGTATGCCATGCAAGAGAATCTATCCATGATGAGCAATCTGGCATTCTTGTACATGCTGGCAGGAGGTATCCTTCCACACCACAACGGTTTGTTTGATTCGGTAACGGATCATTTGCAAAATACGGTGGATGGTGACTTGAGTGACTACCAAGGAATGATGGGAGATGCGTTGGTACAAGACACGGAATCCGCGTATGATCCTACTGGCCTTGCAAATGCATCCTTGGACATTGCTGGATCCAATGATGTGGGCGAATTGGAAGACGTGGATATTGGAGATGCTCTAGGAGGTAATGATTGGGCAGATGGTGCTGCAGAGGCAGGAGGCTACGGTGATGTGGTGGATGCTGAGGATGTTACACGCGATTTTGGCGGAGCGGACTATGCTGCCGATGCTGGTTATGGTGGCATTGTTGAGAGCCCCGTTGCCTATGATGCCTTTGGAGGAGGACAAGACGCCATGGACGGAGATGACGGTTGTGGAGATGACGGTTGTGGAGACGAGGGTTGTGGTGATATACTCTCGTCATTGGCAGACTGCCTGAATGACCAATAACCGATGCTGTACTCCGGAAAGTGAGAAGATTGCTTGTCTTGATTGGTGGTTTCCTCCGAGTCGCTCCAGTGAGAACATTGAACCTTAGATTTGCAGTGCACCGCACGACCTTACCATACACGGGATGACGAGGGAGACGAACCAAACATACAACGTTTTGATGTTTCTACGTCTTCCCCAGTCCTTGCCTTGCTTGGTATTTATTTTTAGAACCAAGTCAGTGAAAGCGAAACGCATGCTTAGGAAGCTTGCGTACGAGCAATCCCACTGCTCATGGTAACAAAAAGTAACACCCTGATTTTGAGTATGATGCTTCTAGCTAGAGCTAGGTAAGGGATACTGTCGCGTAGGCTCGATCTTGTCATAGCCAGACCAATCCGTAGCTAAATAGAGGTTGGAGATTTATCTACGCTAGACTTGAATTGTCGTGTTGGGTTCCTTCTCTGACGAGAAAGGGGCTTCCCGGGCTGGACCGCTAATAGTTGTGGTCTGCTCTTTTGTCCTTTCTCTGGTTGGCTGCCAAACAACGCGTTCTCTACAAGCCTATGAAGAGCCCCTGTTCTAGTTCTGGCACTGTCGCGCCTCTGTTTGTTCCTTCACAGAGCTGCGCTTGGTTTACCTGGTAAAGGCATTTGTGCCCTTTTCAGAACCTCTCGTATGTCATCACCTAACGGCAGCATTAGCTAGTTTTGTTCTCTCAGGATTGCCCTCGGAGTGTCAGGGACATGCATCAGAGGGTCGTTACCCACGAAATGGAGGAGGGCAAAGGAGGGAGTTCGTTCAATGACGTAGTCATCATTTTCATCCAACGGAGGCACGCTGGAGCCAATTGTGTTGGTAGGGAGGAATTTGTGAATGCGTTGTCTTTCCGACGACTGTTGCCTTCTCACAATGTCATATGAAGGCACACTACGGGGGACTTTGGGTCGAGGCGTAATGATGGGTATGCTAATGGTCTTTTGGATAATCTTTCCAACTCCTCCATGGCTAGCTTTGATCGAGACAGTGATTGGCTTCTTGCAACTGTACATGCTCATGATAGTAGGGGTGCTCTCTGCCACTCTCTTGTTTGTTGGTGTTGTTCATCACAGTTCGACACCTTTTCAATTTGTGGGGTGAAACACACTGTCACACCCAGAATTTCCACCTCGCTCCCTACCAGACTCATCTGTCCCACCCAAATTTTTCCTCGTCCTAACTGTTTCTCGCTTCGGCGCACCTCGCAGGAGTCAGCCCCATAATCCCAGTGAACGGCTCTTGAGAACGAAATTTTATCATAGCTTTTGGCCTTCTCCAAACTGTCTTGCTTGGGGCTGACCTTCCGTGCCCGATACTCTCCAAACGACATGGTTTAATTCCCGGATCTATTGGATTCTTGCAGCCAGCACAACGAAAACCAATTGCGGCGAGTGGCCTGGGATGAACGGATTTACTGGCCAAAGTAGTGGAATGTTCCCACCGATTGAGGCAATAGGTCCTGCAACGACTTTTTATGTTGCGCGAGACCGTAAGTTGGCGTAAGAGTACTCGTGGCAGTGAGTCACCAGTAAGCTCAGCAGTACCATGGAACCATCCCGGTACCGGACCATACCATTGAGCCGATGCCCGCAACCCGCAACGACTTGTTGTTCCGCGAGACTCGACTCATGGCCGTTGGAACGCTCGTTGATGCCGTATGTGACAAAAGCTACCCAGTACCGGTGACATCTAGCCGTTCAATGAACGGAATGGAGGTGGCGGAGTTGGGGGAGCCAACAGCACATCATCAGGAACGAAAAGAAGAATTATCAGGAACGATTCTTGAGGAACGAACGTTGCTTTGGAAGAAGGCAGGGCAGTACTCGGAGTGGTGAATCAATCGGGTACTGACTCCCACTCCCACTCCTGTCGTGGAAAATAAAGCTGCCAAACAGTGTCGTTGGGCTTGGCCAATGAACTCCCACGCAACGATGGGAGTGGAAGCAAAGGGAGATGAATGCGCAGCTAGCTAGCTAGCTAGAAGAAACGCTGAGCCAAGTAGCTAGTGAAAGGAAGAAACGACAGGAAATAGCATACTGTACATGTAGTTCATTCGTTCAGACGACGAGGAAAGACGATGAATCAGGGACAAAGGAGAGACAGGAAAGGGATCATTCCTGGGCAGCACTAAAAAGCAGGCAGTGGATATCCAGGTAATGTAGGAGGACTGTTAAAAACGAAGGCATCACATGCGCAAGAGCAGTGCTCGCAACGGACTGCATCCAATCTAATGATGCGACGCACAGTTGCTCTGGATACAGAATCTTTGTTTCAGAACAAACATCACAACATAACCGACACGGTCTCTTGAGCAGCAACCTTCATCAAGTAGCTAAGCCAAAATACTCGCTAGACAAACAGCTCGAAAGATTATCATGACCTCCTATCCTGCTTCGAGTCTCTGTCTTGTTCTGTTGCTGTCCCTGCAGCAGCCGCTTGTGCAAGCTCACAATAACAAACTCTTGCGTTCTGCTGCTACTGCGGATCACCACTACCATGTCGTCGATTGGTCCAACGTAACGGCCACCTCCAAGACAATGGCGACCTTGCAAGTGGTGGCGAATCCCATTTTGAATACTGCGATATCCCCCGTGGCCAAGCGTCTCTTTGAGAATTTGAATCATTTGCAGGCCGATCTGGTCCGTTACGTACCTTGGTTTCCTTATCCGCACTATGGCGTGGCGGAACTGGATCCTCCCAATGTCACGACCCAAACCACCTCGTGGAATTTCAGCAAAGAGCTAAAACAAGAGTTTCTGGATACCTTTCGTGCCGTCACATCGCCACCGCCGGATACTGATGCAGATACAGACAAGACGCACCAAAAGAAGAAGAAGAAACGCATGGTCATTAATTTCAGCACACAGCCCACGTGGATGTTCAACACAAGTCACTGGAGTTACAGTCAAGATCCCAATCATGCCGATTGGAATTACATCAAAGGCAGATGGATCAATAGTACCACTCAGTTGGTGGCCGATTACTATGGTCGATTGGCGGAATGGATCGTTCTGGGACACTTTGTGGATGAATTCGGGCACAAACACACGGGTGGACCTGCCTTGCAGGACGATGTCACGCATTGGGAAATATTTAATGAACCCGAAGGAGAACACAGCATTACACCGCAACAATACAATGCACTCTATGATGCCATTGTACGAGCCATTCGAGTCAAAGCTGATCCACAGAAAAAGATTCAATTCATGGGCATGGCGTTAATGGGCCACAGGGAATGGGATTATTGGAAGGGATTTCTCACACCCGAAAATCATGCGGAAGATGTCCGTGATGCCGTGGCCAATGGATATGCATCCTTTCATTGGTATACGCATTGTTCCAATCGGACCAATGCATCGACATTTGAAGAAGCCTTTGTCCGCATTCCATCCTTTCTCGAGGAAATTGATGAGATTGTTCGTCTGCGAGATTCCTTGTCACCAACCACCCAATTGGCATTGAACGAAGCCGGAGTCATTCCAGTCAAAGACAATGATCCCAATGCCGCAGCGTTGCCACCCGTCTACTTTAACATGGCCGCCGGACTCTTTACGGTGTTGATCTCGGAACTCTCTCGCAAGGGTGTCGAAGTGGTGGGATCGTCCCAATTCTGTGGTTGTCCGGCGTTGCCACAATGGCACATTCTCGATCGACAATTCCCCGGTGTCAGCATGACCAATTGGACCACCGGAGAAGGCAATCCACGGTATTGGGCATTGAAACTATACTTGCAGTATTTTGGACCCGGAGACAAGATTGTGCACAGCAGCGAGGCACACCTGGACGACAATAGTAATGACGATGATGTCTATGTCCAAGGACGAATTACGCATCGAGGCAACAATTATGTCGTCATTGTTGTCAACAAGACCAATCGAGAGCAGCGTCTGACACTCAAGCATTTGAGTGGAGCACATGTCAGTCTCGTGGACGAATCGACTCATGATACCGCATGGAAGGAATTCACATCTCATTCGGACACGCTCGTGCTGGGGAGATTTGCCGTGGCGGTGGTGCATGTTACACAGATGATGATGCCGGAGGAATTAGAAACGAGGGCAGAAGAGAAGTAAAGATTGCTCTAGTGGTTTTTGTGAATGAGCCATTGTTGCTCTGCGGCAAAATGTTAGGGGGAAGCAGGCTCATCATGGCCGAGAGTGCTTGCCGACGAGACATCGTTTCAACTCAGGTCTATAATTCACAACTGCTACTTTAAGCATCATCGGGAGCATCATGGCCATGGATCTAGTTGTACCTTTTCTGGTATGGTACTCTTGAATGCACAAGGGCTTGTCTTCCCTGATTTCTGAGCTCATAGTTAGCTAACTACACAGCTTGAAAGTCCTCTCTTGCTAAACCCATCTCATCGTGAAGAAGATTCGATTCTCCTGTACATCTCGTTACCAGTGCGAAGTCTTCGGTAGTCATTACGTACTGGCAGGTGCTGCGACTTCATGCATCAAGATTGGTTGGATGGCGTTCCTTGGCCAAGGAAAACATAACATCCTAAATAGCTAGCTAGTTATATATCTTATACACGGCAGTCGCTGTAACTGTTGATGCACCTCTCGGGACCCAAAAGATTTCCGCACGAGTATATCCCCGACAAGAGACAACCTCCCCGACTGAGTGTGAATCGAATCCCCCCGACAACAATAGTTTGTATGTGCGAAGGCGTTGAATGTGGGACCAGATAGTTTACATGTTGCCTCTTGCGTGGCGTCGGTTCTGGTTCCTCATTCGTTCTCAAGTAGAGTCGTCTTTTTTCAGCTGTCGACCTCTGGCTCTTTCCTGGGAATCTTATCTCGCTTGCCTCTTCTAGTACGAGGAGGGCTGGGTGGTACATCCCCAATGACATTCTCGGATCCCATTCTCCCGGTAGTGAGGGTTGTCACTTCACATACCGGAGACTCTTGCTCAGCACAGCTTGTTGTTGTTGTCAATTTGGATCGGACAAAGTCTGCCACCGTCTCGGCAGTGGTATCGTTCCAGCAAATACTGGCATGATCGGATCCTTCAATGATTTGATACTTGACAGTGGTGTGTTCTCCCAGTGCTTCCGCCATGAGTTGTCCATTTTCTTGCAATCCCATATCAAATGTGGCATTGAGAATCAGTGTACTGGGTGGTTGATAATTGTGGGATTCCAGCCCGCCACCATTCCATTCCCATTCCAACAACAATTCCATGGAATCTTCGGCATTGGACGTCATGGAGGAACGTATTTTTTCGGGCAACAGTTTGTCGGGAACCAACGGGACGACTCGTTCGGAAACTTTGCTGACTCGGCGTTGTAAATTGGTCACGGCAGTTCCCCATATACTGGTATCCTTATTAGGATCCAGCAATAGCAAGGGCGATGCTTCTCGCTTGAGTTTGGCATCGGTTCCAAAGGCGGGTGTGACATAGTAGAGAAACAACCACTTGTTTTTAAAATCAATGGCATTGGATCTCATGGGGGAAAACAAATCGTACACCCCCGATACGAGAATGACCCCTTTGAAAAAGTCGCGTGGAATACCAAATGGTTCTTGCAAAAAGGTGAAATGCCGAATGGTCAATAATGAAGCAATGTGGGCTCCTGCCGAATGTCCCGACAAAAAGACGTTGGAGGTATCGCCTCCCAAACTGTCGATATGATCGTAGACCCATCGAATGGCCAAGGCGGCGTCGTAAATGAATTCTGGATAATGTCCTAGTCGATATCCAATGGCCACGGAAATGCATCCCGTATCGGCCGTGACATTTTGACACATGGCGGGTCCTCCATAGAAACCAGAGTCTTTCTTTCCTCTGGACCAGCCTCCACCGTGAATGTGGATATAGACGGGTCTTTGAGAGTGATTGTTGTTGTGGTTGTTGGTATTATTGTCGTCATTGGCATCCTCATCATCATTATCATCATTAGCAGTAATATCTTCTTGTTGAAAGTAGATATCCATGGACTGTTTGGGCGACTCTTTTCCGTAGGGTACATCTGCCAATCGATGTACCTTGACGTGATGAATTTCCTGAATGGGTTTCCAGGCGGCTCCTTGTTCCAACAGCGATTGCACGGCTTGTTCGCGGAGTGGAATATGGCGCAACATGTGCGGCAAGGAATCGGTCGGTTCCGAATGGACGGTACCGTTTCGATCCACGGCAGCGCGGGCGGCAATGGACCCTAGAATGGCCTTGATGGAAAACTCGTAGTCTTCGAGTGGTTTGACAACGGCATCCAGAGCGGCATTTGCCACGGCGGCGAGTTTGGAGGGAGATTCGGATGTTCTATTTGGGCCGTCATTGTTATTTGTTGGATCATCATCGTCTTGTGGGGGTGGAACTACGGTAAGGGGATGTTCTGTCATGCTTCTTAATAATCTGATAAGATAGATTGTGCTGTTGTGCTGTTGAGTTTCAGGTTTAGCTTTTATGGCATATACCTCTCCGACACCCCGAGCTACCGGTAATAGCTAGCTAGCAAACGCCTGGTTGCTTGGGTGGTACCAGGCAAGAGCCACGCAATACATGTACTGATTGCATGCAGTGACCGACATCAAGCGTTGGCTCGGACTGGGTTACTGTTTGAATAAATGAGTGAGTGTCAGTAAGAATCATAGACGTTGGAGGGAGTTGTTTTGCTTGGTCTTGGCTCCCCAAGCAAGCGCGACCAACCAGCTTGCTTGGCACTCGATCACTCCATGCCATCCTCATTCACTCGTGAGCGGTACTGAAAGGAAATCAACTGTTCAAAAATTCGAACTGGAATCGCTGTTCGAACTCCTCACTCACACGTAAGATACTACCCTATTAATAGTAAGCAGGTTTTTATTTTAAAATTGAGATTCCAAGTACCTGGTACTCAACTTTACAAGATAAGACAACAACAGCATACAAGTACCAAAATGTATTCTAGCTGCCTAGAGCGCACACTGGGAACTCTATATGCGTAAACCCCAGAACGGCTCGTCACGATTCTCGGCGCCCTTGAAGGGGACGGTCCCCAAGTCGGCCCTGATGCTAGAGGAAATGTTGGTCTCAGCTAAGGATATACTTTCCAATGTTGCAGCACAGTGCAAGATCAGATCTTTCATCTTGTCGCAGCCCGCGTCGTCAAATGGGTTCTTTGCCAAATCAAACTTTCTCAATCTGGGTGGAAAGCGTATTATCGCTTCAACAAGACAGGCGCAACTCGAATTGTCGACATTGCAGTTGGCCAGGTCTAGCACCTCTAGCTGTGAAGCTATCGATGCAAGAGCCTTACAGCCCTCCAGCTCAATCAATGGGTTGTCATGTAGATACAACTCTCGCAACAGCGATGAATCATCTTGGAGAACAACATCAGCTATCGCCTGACACCCTTTCGATCCGAGGAAGGTACCTTCCAAGTGCAAGGATCGTATGGAATTAACAGCCGGTGAGAGTGCCGATACCCCTTTGTTGCCCAGATTGAGATTGTAACTGAAATAAACCTCTGTCAAGTGAGGTACCTTCTTGGCAAGAATGACGTCGGCAAGGGCGCCACAACTGCTGGGTCCTGCAAAGTTGGAGCTCAAGTCTAGTCTCTTCAGGTTTGGAGTGTATCCTTGCCGGATACAACTGATGACGAGGTTGATATCATCATCGCTCCAACGCATGAACCTAAAATTGAGCACCTCCACTTGTGTGTAACGCTTCTCGAAGTAACTTCGATATAAGCGCTTTACGAGTGGCTTGTCGTCGACTTGGTTAGTGAAGCTCCGCGATTCTATTTCACAATCAAAGAAGTCCGGGTTGATTGGACCTTCTCGAGGAGATATATTCTTCTCACAGATTTCTGATACTAATTCCATCTTTGCAGAAAGACTCATCGCCGGAAGCCTGAATTCTAAATCACGCATGCAAACAACATTCTTGACAAACAGTTCACAGTACAGATGTTTCATTTCGTCGTCCAGATCGACGGTTTCTGGTTTCAATGTCTTCCTCGGCTCACCACTCGATATATCGATCGTTCTACCAGCACTTTGTGTGAGTCCAGCCCAACAGGATTCAGTAAAGGGCCAACCTCTTTCCGCATACGGCACAGTCGCGTGCTTGAGCAAGGTGGGATCTTCAGCCACTGTGTAACCTTTGGGATAACCATCAGGAAAGGCTGTGATCTTGTATGTGTTGATGTAAGGATGGGAGTAGAAGAACGAAAGTGCTTCAAGACCTTCTCTGAATAGATCCGTTTGCCATTCTTCGCGGTACTGATCACTGCTTGGATCGGGATGCTGATAGAGGGACGCAAAGTCCCAGAACACCCCCCAACAATGATTGTGACGGTTGATTAGATCATTCTTCACAAGCTCCTTCAGCTTGGTTACCAGAGTGCTCAGCACCCAGCCATGCGGGTCTGGATGAGACTTGTCCAACCACATGTAGCTGAGGCATATCACCCGGAGGCGCGTCGAAAAGTCAATTTCCTCCAATTTGGTTGCTCCGACAACATCTTCTATGTTAAGAAATGCCTCATCCGGAAGATTTTGGCGGTAGGTAATAACAGAGGTGGAGAGCGACTCGATTGATTGGCGGATTAGCCATGACGCATCCAAAAGTCGAATGGCACCTGAACGGAGAGATGCCTCTAGTTCACTTCCAGCAAGTTGAATCCATTTTTCGATTGAATCCAGGGGTGTATGGCCGCGTGACTTCAACCGGGCTCGCTTCATTTCCATATCCCGCAAATAATACTGCCAAGCTTTACGCTCGTCTTGCTGTACTCCATATTCTCCGTCTTCGTACAAACGGGCCAGCTGTAACAAAGCATCCGTATCATAGAGATTCGCCAAGTATTCGAGCAGCTCAATGCCTTTCTGAACATTTCTTGGTCGACTCATCCCTGATAGGTACATGCTTGCCAACTGTTGGATAGCGCCAATCGTGCCACGGTCCGTATGGTCCATGATCTCCTGAACGTCGGGTTTATCTTCTGCTGTCAGATTGTCGAAGATTGCGTTGGCATCTGGATCATGCCGCTTATTAAGTAGCTCCCAAATAATCTCATCGTCTGGCGTACGGCCACCAGGATGGGGTGGTGAACTATTGCAACCCATGTAACAAACAGTACCGGTACTGCTACTACTACCTATCCTAAACTGATTTTGAACTGGCAGTGCAGATACGATCTCAAAGCCAAACCCTTTGCCCCGGATCAAAGGAAGCTCTGCCACTGCTACCAGCACCGGTAGCAACAGACAGAGACCAGGAACAGGAATCCTCATGGCAGAAGGCATGCTACACTACGAATACGCAGTAGTTTTGGAATACACTACAGAGCTTTTCTCTTCTTTCAGCAATGTCGTAATGGTCCTCAATTTCTTGCCCCTGATCCCACAGAACCTAGTCCTGAATTTCGACTGTTCTTTGCTTAAGCCTGGCCCCGGCTGGCTTCCGTAGATAAATTCCCTACTCTAAAACCCCCCTTAGGCCGCTCTCTACCCAAGCAACTAAAGTAGCGACTAAGCCATATTTCGTAGTTTAGTCGATAGTTTAGTCTCTGAGGGTGGTGTCTACCCAAGCGACTAAACGTCCCACGGACTAAAGGCTTTAGTCATTATGTTCGCTCACCGAC